ATGATACAGGAGAACCAGGATCTCAGGTCACAACTTGCCATAGTAATAGGACAAATGCAAAGGGAAGACGACTTGAGGGTGAGACATGTTTAGTCATATTTTTAATCTAGCAAACAAGGGACCACTATACATAAAGGTATACTATTATAATAGGTACCACCGTGAATTCAGAGAGAAGGCGAGATGAATCATCGGTGGAGTACAAATGTTAGAATCATCTCAACTTCTGCTCTTCATTGATTTGTACCAGGTACCGTACCGGTATACTCTAGAAGTCGAACATACTTCTGCGCCGGGACCATTGCTGATCGACTTACCGATGCTGTAAGGTGGGCAGATGGATCGGCTCTCTGTGATCGTTTCATCAAAATATGATTTGGCTGGTTGAGAACTTGGACGTATTTTTCAATTAAATAGAAATATTACTCTTAACGATGGCACATGTACATTTATAACAAGTATAGTCTTGAAACGATCCCAAACGATACACAAGGTTATAAGTGTTAAAGTTGATACTTAGAGAATAATAACATTTTAAGATCACGACTACAAAAAATTGGGACGAGCAGTTCTTGAACTCAGATTGTCCGAATTTTACTTAAGGTTCCGTTGGTCGCTTTGTCACAGGTCATTTTGCATTGCTCGCATTGTTACCAGATAACGACCAACCTCACCAAATTCCGATTAGAAAGCAGACTAAGTGAACTGGTAAGAGTGGAAAAGACTCCCCGTGAAAAGGGATCGAGCACACAGTTATTTGTTTCAAAATATAACTCACCTGTATCCTTATAAACCTCACAACATCTTTACCGTAGACAATATGACTGCCCAATCCTGTACTAGAACTGAAAGTGACAAGCTTCACAAGAAGCGAAAAAGTGTTGTCTTCAAGAAAGCATCGGTTGGCTCACCACAAAATAATGCATCCTGTTTGGTACATGTCCATTGGATTCCTCCCAATAGTGACGAAGACATCCAAGCGAGATGGCATAGCAAGGATGAATACCAGGAAATTAAGAATTCACTAAAGAGTGTGGTTCGTGCGGCTTACAGCAATGCCAAGGAGAACCTTGAAGTGGATTGGGACCATGAAGATTACTGCATTCGGGGGCTCGAGATCATCTCCCCGTATACCGTCAAAGAACAACGCGAGCGCCGACAAAGACTACTCGCGGGTGTCTGGAACGCTCAAGTAAGGCAGTGGAACGAGCAGGACAGAATCTATGATCCTGAAGCGATCGCTTTGGCATCTCGAAAGCAGACCATGACCAGTGCTTGCATTGCTCGAAGTTTTGCTGTGAGGGATGAATTGGCTGCCAGCAAGTACTATGAAAGTAGGGCAACTGGCGGAGCCAAAGAAGATAATGCAGTCGACACCAAAGTGTCATTGGAAGAACCATCTTTCTCTGCCATGGGGAATGCGACTGCTGCATGAATCAATCGCCATTCAACAAACTTGAAAACACACACAAATACGCAAGGGGAATAGCTAATTTGCGCAAATATAGAATAGAATATGATACCGCTCAGACCTTTAGTTCTTCTCAAGCAATGTAGCCAAGGTGCCTTTGGGTTGCAGACTGCTTTGGCTTGCTCGCAATAGGCTGGTAAAAAGGGGCGTGAGACAGCATTCATTGTTCTCTTTCCCACAAACGAACCAGGTACTAGATACATGTGAACTATACTATACTATACTACATATACGATGCTACCGCCGAAAACAAATCGCCTCCAACGATTGAACTCAATCAATACCACTTGGCTAGCTGGAGGTTTCACCATCTGCCTCCCCTGCCTCCTCATCCATTCTGCAGTTGGTAAGTCGTAGGTAGGCACCAGCAGCCACCAAGACAAACCACAGACCCTCCCTACTTACTTACAAGTAGGTGATGTCACCAGTAGCCTTGTTCTTGGCGGCCAATGGTACCACCGTGGAGAGAATGGGATATTCCATGGTGAGTTTGTTAATGATCCGGACCATATTGCCGCCTCCTGGAGTATCAATGACAATGTGCAGTGGACGGTAGCTTCCATCTGAGGCATAGACTTCAAAGGCTTGTTTGACATTGTTGGGACCTTGCAAGAGCTCCACCTTGGCTTTTAGATGCCTTCCATCCGTCTTGAGGAGGATCTGGACACTCTCCACAGCCTCGGGCAAGGGATAGGATCGGAGTGCACCTCCCTGAATAATCTTGGTGTTTCCACCACCAATGTCACTCAGTGCCTGTCGGACCTCACCCAACGAGTTGTCAATTTTCAAGCAAGCTTCAAAGGGAAATTCCATATTGGCCGTATTCCGAATGGCAATGGTGTTTTCCCGCTTGGGTGTGGCAATCATAGCATTGACTGGTCTCGTGATGCCATCTTCCGAGTAGGCTTGCAAAATCCAGGGGGTATAGTCCGGTCCCATCCAGAGTTCGTATTTGGCCACAATGGGTCGGCCATCACTTTTGAGCATCATGTGAATGTTGTTGACTTCCACGGGTAAACTGCTGGTGCGGAGGGTTTCTCCATGCACCAAGACGCTATTGGAGGGATCCCATTTGTCTTGGACGGGCCAGAGACCACCAGGAGCACTATCTCGAAACTGTGGTGGCGGAGTCGTCATGGCACCGCCTTGTTGATTATTTGGAGCCATCCTACCATTTTGTGCCGGATCTCCAAAGTTGTTCTGTGCTGGATCGCCAAAGTTCTGGTTTGGTGGAGCGATGGTTTCTTGAAGACTTGTCGTGGTCGTGGTGCTGGAGTGATGTTTGGCATCCCGCCGAGAGTATAATGTTGATGTGAATGCAGCCGTAGCTACGGTGCAGAGTGTTAGAATCGTAACTCTCATGATTTCAAAATTGAAGGCTTGAATTTTGTTGGTGTTCTCGGTGAATAGTGTTCTGATTGACACCAAAGATCCCTGTTGATGGGGGGCCGGAAGTAAAGTAAGAATCCTTTTGGGAGAAAGATGATGCAAACTGACATCAGAATTGTGCATGTTTGGTCGCAGAGTATCTGGGGAATTGTAAAAGGGGGTCGCATCAAGTAAGGGGTACAAAGTCATCGTGTTTGGAAGCTTCAAGTCGTGTCTGGAAACACGTAGGATTCCACGCGAATCAGTAGACTTTAGCAATCGATCCGTTGACAGAATTTCAGGCATCCGAAAAAAGGAACAACGATAACAAGACTTGACGGAAGTGACCTTTTCAGTAGAGGCCTAGTTCGTCACTGCCACCTCTGCTGCTATCCTACAACCAAGCTCGGAATCAAATTAGCCTACAAGTTACCTAGCTTCACTCTACCTTTTTGTGTGAAGAAATCTTGCCTCATTCTTCTTCTGACCTCTGAACTTGAACGACGTTAGTCCCACTTTTTGCATCACAATTTTTCGTCGTCTAATCGAAAACGACAAAAGACAAACTCTTTGAAAAGCAACTAAATTTTGTTTCACAATGGCAACATCATGGAATCCTTTTGGTAAAAAGCCAACCGCCAAAGAGCTGGCAAAACAAGCCAAACGCGAAACTCGAAAAGAAGTCCGCGGCGCCCAACGGGAAATGGATCGTGAAATGCGAGAATTGGACAAGCAAGAAAAGCAAATCACCATGGAATTGAAACAACGGGCCAAGGGCGTCAGTAGTTCAAAAGATCCAGCACTTGCTGCTCTTGCCAAACAGCTAGTCCAAGTGCGTAAGCAAAAAGAAAAGCTCATTGGCGCCAAGGCACACATTGGAGCCGTCGGCATGCACGCGACTAGTATGGCGTCACAGGTGGCGGCCGCCCAAGTCCTTGGCAATGTGACGGGAGCTATGCAAACTGCTAATAGTGCAATGAATGTCCAAGAAATGACTAAGATGATGAGTGAATTCCAACGTGAGACGGAGCGTATGGAAGTCAAACAAGAAATGATGGACGATGCCCTGATGGATGCCTTTGACAATGATGAAGTCAATGAGGAAGCTGAGGATGTTACCAACCAAGTGTTGGCGGAACTTGGTGTCGAGTTGGATCAAAAGATGGTTGGGTTGAATGCTCCCAGTGCCAAACCAGTTGGAGAAGAAATATCGCAAGAAGCAGAATTTGATGCCTTGCCGGATTTGAAGGCACGACTTGATGCTCTGTAGAGTATAGTTTACAGTATAGTCTTGCTTCGATCCATTGTACCTAGGCATAGTATTATATACCGTATCAAACGCTTGTAATAGTACATGCTTTCATTGACTCTGATATGCTGTTGACGACTTGCGCACGGGTATCATAAAAACCCACACAATAAGTACTAAAGGTTTTAAGATTTCTGGCCCACACCATGAACGTATAAAGAGCCATAC